TTTAAATTACTGAAATTACAAAAGTATGTTTTATCTTACAAAGACAGGGAATTTAGATTTGGTGTCTAACTTTAAATATTCCCTCCACTTTCACATGAAAAACTGAGCAAAATGTAAGATTCACACCAAATATTTGAATGCTATGAATATTAATTCTAGAAAAGAATGAGGAACCTACCAATAAACCTTTCAGGGCAAACCTGTTAGCTGAACAAGGCTGGGCCCTAGAAACAGCTTAAGTGTAACCAATAGGTACTTCTTCTGTCTTCACAACTTGACATTAGCAGACTGATTCTTTGATGTTTCAGAAGCACTACAGCTCATTACTCTTGGAAACCCAAATCTGGATGTATATATTACAGCACTTTTATCCTTAGTAATTTTGGCCCAGGAATGTAAGCCATGCTTTTATTTTAAAAAGCTAGTTTTTGATATTTAGAAATAAGTCTTCAACAGCCTGGTTTGAAATAAAACACGTAATGAATTTGCAACTGAGATGAACATATGGATCAGGTTCTAGGTTAAATTGCCTCTAACTTCTTTAACAGCCACCCTTTAGAGATTTCAAAGTACTGTATAAGTTACTCAGAAGTGGTCTATCATTTTCTCCACTCTGGAACAATATCTGGCCCAGGCCACACAGACTAACTCTTCTATAATGAATAGTGGAGAACTGAACTCATAAATTCTGGTTTGCAGTCAGGTGTTCTGTTTCACTAAGCTATCAGTATCCCCTTGTAGTCTAGACCAGTGGTTCTTAACCTTTGTTACTTGGATGTTTTTGGACTGCAACTCCCAGAAGCCTTCACCATCAGCTCTGCTGGCTGGGGTTTCTGGGAGTTGCAGTTCAAAAACACCTGAGTAACAAAGGTTAAGAACCACTGGTCTAGACCATGTTTTAATTTAACATGTTATAGCTCAAAGAGCTAATTACACAATAGGGTTTATAAATTCTCATTGTTCTAATAAAACATAGCAGTCACTGATTCCTAAATGTTTTGTGAACAGGGACCAGTTCGTGAATCTGGGGGTTCAATTTTAACAAGTTCTATAGGTTTCTGTATAGACTTCACACTAATCCATTCATTTTCCATACTTTAGAACGATTTGAAGCTGTTTTACTTTCTCCGGAGCTTTTCTAGCAATATGACAAATGAAAGACATGATTACCCATTATCCAAATCTGACTATATTCTCCCATAACCACATGGGATAAAGGCTCGTCGTTGTTTAGTCGTGTCCGGACTCTTCGTGACCCCAGGCTACAATCCTGCAATTCTTAGCACAGTAAACCACACTAGAGTAGAGCCACTGAATCAACTAAGTTTGGCAAGTCAACTTCTCCATATGGGCTTACTCTGTGATTTACTCTCCTAGTACCGAGATTCTTGCAAGCCCAAAATTGGTTTCTGTGATTCTGATTGGTTTGTCAGTGATGCAGATTTCTTTAGTGGTAAGCCTAATTACTGTTCTTCTGTAGCTTTATACCTTATCTGTCACTACACTTTCAGGCACTGCAATATCAGTAAAAACAGGATTGTTGCTAGAAAGCAATCTGAGCAAGTTTGTGGAAATATGAGATTAACAGGAAAAGTGTGTTTTCGACAGAGAAGTCGTATAACAAAGGGGAAAAAAAGCAAAGTATGCTGCTTATATATCGCCCCATAGCATTTAAAAGTACCCTCCTGGCAGCTTACAACTTTTAATTATGCAAGCTATACAGTCCCCTCAGCAAACTGAGTACTCAAATTACCAAATCTGAAAGGATGGAAGGCTCAGTGAACCTTCAGCAGAGTACATGGGACTGAACTTGGATTGTAAATTTTAGCTATAATAGTGCAGTTAAACTGCTGTGCCACAAGGTACCTCAATCCAACATGAAGTGATTGAAATCAAATTGTCATCTCGTTTTTCACTATCCTCATCTTCCACCCTAAAATCCACTCAACCTGTTACGATAAGCAAGTTTAGTCTATTCAGTCCTCCTTTCACTTTCTCCTTTTGTCGATCAGACCAGACAGGCGCGATATAAATCAAAATAAATAAATAAATCTTTCTTTCCCCATACCAGTACTTTGACATTCACCTCAAAGTCTCCGAGTTGCCATATTCTAGCCCCACTCCCAATTTCAACCAGCTATTTATTCCTCATTATACTAACCATGCTGTAGATCTCAAAATATAAATTCAAGTACCCCTTCAAAAGGAACAGTCACAAGCTGGGATTCAGGGGAAGCATGAAACTGAAGTGCCGAATCTTCTCTGCTCCATCTGAACCAGACTCCAAGACTTCTGGCCCCTGAAGCACCGATGATATCTACAGCAATGTTTTAAATATTTTCAGGTCATGCTTGTGGGCTTTCTATAAACAACTGGTTGGCCACTATATCAACAGAAAGGTTGATATAGAAAGGTTTTTGCTGTGATTCTGTAGTTATATGCATCTTCAAGTGCTCTTTGCTCACTCTGTTTCCGTATCAAAATGCCAAAAGAAGCCTATCTGTGTGCAATAGACCACTGGAAAGATCAAGAATTGTGCAAGATCAGCTCAGAATTATACTTCCAAATAACTCACAAACTACCTAACAATAAACCAACACTGCTGAATTTGCATTCTTCAGAAACTGAATGTAGCTCAAATGTTCATTGCAATTCTGGATCTGTAACTTGTTAGCTGTAGCTTTGCTGTGAAACAAACAATGCTATGTAGGACTATGCTACGAACAGTGTAGCTACATACATATATACTCACAAATCAAAGGGCTCAAGGAAACTGAGATGGGATTAGAGCTGTACTTGAGCAGAAATCCAGAACCAGTGTATAAATTCCTATAAGGAACTTCTAAATCCATTTGCATACCTATCAAATCTCTTATAACAAATATTCTAACAGACTATGATGTGAATGGGAAAATCCAATGAAAAAGAATTCTATTGTTACAAATCCGTATTTCAGAGCAGTGGTTCCCAGCCTTGTGTAACCCAAGTAATTCTTGGTCTGCAACTCCCAGAAGCCTTCACCACCAGCTGTGCTGTCCAGGGTTTCTGGGAGTTGTAGTCAAAGAACATCTGGGTTGTGCAAGGCTGGAAATCACTGTTCTAAGAGCGTAGTTTTATGCACTGTTACTAGCCTATTCCATTATTACATTCAACACAAATATCCTAACACAGCCACATTAATAATCTGCCCAATATTAGCTAGTAATCTTTAATGGTTTTTCATAGCCGTACAATTGTACAGTTCAAATGTAACCAGAGGGCATCTAGTCTCTTGCTAATGGATTCCATGAAAACTTATCCTGCAGCAATGTAACAAACTAAAGTTAAATGAGTCCCATTCTTTAGCCTGATTGAACTAGAAGTTGTTTGCAATTTTGCATTTTAACTTTCAAGGACATATACTACTACTTGAAACAAAAATAATGAATTTTTTTTACACATCATCACAAATTATGGCATAAAGCAAAACTATTATTAAAGAAAGTGCTTTAAGAATTAAGAAACACGTATCTGTACAGAAGTTCACTCTACGGTTTAAACTTTGTAAATTTTATTGTGATTTGATTTAGCACTTGAAACCTTCTACAAGCTTTTGAATTGAAAACACCCTTTAAACTACACCAGAAGGTAAAAACAGACTACTGGTATTGGCAAGTTATTCCCTCCCCAAGTTTCCATTAGTACATTAATCAGAATGCTAGCATAATTTATAGAAACACAGATATAGTAGAATTTAGTTGAGAATCATATACAAAAATATTAACTGTTCTTATTATTTAATATAAGCCAGTGATTTCTATTTGCAATACAGCTTTCTAGAATCAATAACCCCACCCCTAGACTTCCTCATATTCCCATTTATCCCTGACGCATGAGAACAGGCAAGGATTTGCTACTGTCCCTATGTAGCGTATGTATAACATGCTTTCAGAAATAAGTGGAAAGTCTTTGAGGCTGATGAGTGAAAAAAATTAAAAACTCCTGTTGGATTATCAATGAACAAGGGCTAGTTTATTTAAAACACCAAGTTAAAAAAATATAAAACATTTCTTTTATATGTCAAAAATTCTACTCATTTTGCAAAATTTTAAGTGCAACTAGTTGGTAACCTACTGAACATTGAAAAGTGCTATATGTACAATGTTTCACTATTCAAATCAATTTTCTTTAGATACAAATATCTAGAGAGCCCAACTCCACTAACTGTTTTGCACTATTCCAGAACTATCTGCTGAGAAGAGACGTTTTGTAAGTTGTTCCAAGCTTTAGCCCCACCAACCTCAACAGGCCGGGACAAGTGCAATACTACAGACACATACACAGCATTGCAACTGATCCCAACCTGTGTAGAAAGGGGTACACTTTGTCAACTTTTAATTGAATTTCACTGCCACAGTCAGTTTTGCATGGATTTGCACAGCAGAGTATTATACAGCTGGATGCAAACCTGCAAAACTAACCAGAGAACAGTGTTCAACTGACACACGCAAACAGCAGAATACAGGGAAAATAATGGAATTGAAGTTCTACAGCTGGCAGTACTTTAAGTGCTCTTAGTGCAGTAGATTATGCACCACTACCTGCACTATAAGCACTTTAGTGCTACAAGAGCTGTTTGGACCGATGTTCTCCAGGGTCCTAAGTTACCTCAATCATGAAATCAGTAAAACGTAGACAATAACAGGCCACAATCAGTTTTGCATAGATTTGCACAACTACATTCTTCTTGTAGTGCAACTATGCAAAACTAACAGAGGACTGCAAACCATTACTAGATATATGTTCAGTGTGAATGACTAGGTGAAAATACAACTTCTTATGCCAGAAGGAGCACTTAGGGCAGTAGATGCTAATCTACTTCACTATCTGCACTAGATGCACCTTAGAACAAAAAGCAGTCACCATGGAAGCCATGCAGAATAGCAATCCAAAACCTCTGAGGCAGTTGCCAGCATAATGCTACAAGTGCCTTCACTGCAGTAGGTTCTATATATCACTACCTGCACTGTAAGCACTTTGACATTACTCTAACATGAACAGATTCTTCTCATTCAAAAGTGTTTTGCCTACAAAAGAAAACAAAAGCTTTCATTAATTTGCAGGATTAACAAAGATTTTGTTAACAAATACATAATCATACAACAAAGTACACACCTACTCCTAAACCAATGAACTGTTGCCCTGAAGGATTAAAAGAGTTTGACAGATTAATTCAAGTTTCTTCACAAGAAAATATATAGGTTATGCTTCAGTGAAAACTACAACTCTACAGTTCTTAACTGAAAAACAGAAATACTTTCATCTTTCAAAGGAATGGTCTATTTAACTGCTTTTTAAATTAAGAATTAGGTTGTATTTATTACTGTGTTCAACTGAAAAAACTAGTAAATTATTTACTAACAGTTATTGCTGAAAAGGACTTGAGTTTCTACTAATTTAGATTTTAGAAACATCAAATAACTGCACAAAATTGAAATATATCATTTCTGATATCTTGTTCAATAAAAATACTGAGGACACACGATTTTAATTTACTTTAAAATGCAATTGTGTTCACATTACACACCATGTCCTCTAAACTTTACCATATTCATAAACTGTAACTTTTTCTTTCTGTACCTGGGAACTCCAGAAGGAGATTCATAGATTTTAACTGCCTTTACTACTTTTCTTAAGAACTAGTCATAATTCTCTTCTAATAGGGATGTGAAACTGCTTGGATTAAGTTCCATTTGCCTGTATACAGAAAGTCTAGGCACTTATACTAATTGGAACTTACCATCCTTTCATACAACAAATCTTTATTCTTCAGGGCAAATTCTGTAGCATCGACCTTTGAAGTTTTTTCCCCTAGTGCTTGCTTGTTTAGTACTGTAGAGAAATAAACAAAAAAAACCCCTTAAACATTTGAAGAAAGCGAATCCTGCTACTTTCAAATCATAGACTTCCACTTAACAGGCAAGGCAGAGACGAACCAACAGGTAGCTCGTTACAGTCTCATAACTCTCGTAAAAGAACGAAGAATTAGAGAGTTTCTTCTGCTCAAGCACGGGAGTTAATAGGTAAAAGGTGGCGGGAGGCAGATGGGCAAAACAATGGCGCCCCAGAGCCGGGCCCGCGGCTTCACTTAAGCAGCACGTGCTAAGTCCGGGAGGGACTCGTCAGGTCAGGGGCGCCAGAGGGCGCTGTAGCCACGGCGGGAGGTCAGAGCTGGGCTACTAGATCAGCGTATTCTCCCAATCCGTTCTCTCCCCTCCCGCCGCCGAGGCCCGTTCTTTTATTCCCTTTCGTTCCAGAACGCTCATAAAAATGATCGTGAAGCCCCCTTTTCGTCCTCTGCTCACCAGCGCGTCCTCGCTTTCGGGCCGCGCATTTTCTCGCCCGCACGGCCGGCGGCCACAGCGGCTCCCACATGGCCGCGGCCTAGCTAGGAACAATCAGCCTCAACACGCGCAGTCGCCGCCATGTCCCGGCCCCGCCCCCCTCGGCAACATGGCGCCGCCGCCGCGGCCCCGCAACCACCGCCGGCGACTTCGCAGTTAAGGCAAAGCCACGAGCCTCCCTAGAATCCCCTTCCCACGCGAACCGCCAGGGCGGGAAGCGAGCCACGCGGCCCACGGGGGAAGCAATAGGAGGAAAAATCCCTCCTCGCAGCCAACCCAGGTCGAGCCCCGCGGAGAGAACACCGCCCCCGCCCCTCCCAGAACAAAAGCCCATGCGGAGCGGCCCGGAGGGCCTCCCACTTCTCCTTCCAGCTCTTTAAAAGTCCTACTCAGTCCTTCAAATTTTAACTGCCTTTCCTCTCCAACGGTCGCTGAACCCACCCCGGAGGCTTCAGCCTCCTCCGTAGCTCGCGTGGGGCGCCTCAACACGCCCCCCCCTCCCATGTGCCCGCTACAGCGGCTTTTGTTCTAAGCGACCGGTCCCTCTCGTTCCTCTCTTTTCCCCTCAGTACGTACCTTCTGCCCGGCTGGCGGGCTCCACGCTCTCCACCCTGAG